CGGGGAAAGGCAGATATCCATCTTTGGGTGAAGCGTATGCATGTGCGAGAGATACCCCTATGCACCATAGAGTTGTGGTCGCATCAGGTCGTGGTGACATTGAATCATCTCTAGGGGAAGACCTGTAATCCACAAACTGGGATTGCGACCCCTTGGCTTATCAACTAGACTTTGGTGACCCGCTAATGAGCCCCTGCTTGGATTGTGGGTCATGAAAAAGCAAGTGTGGTCTGTAGTCCACAGTTGAAGGTGGAGTACCCCGTGTTCGTTGATAGAATTCCTGAACCATATGGATCCACTTCCTATCATATTAATTTAATTGTGTTCATTTTAGTATTAAATTATTTTAGATTTATTATTTGAATTTTTATAAGTCACTTGATATTTTATTTTTTATTTTTGGACTTATAAAAATGAAGTTATTGATTTACAAAGTTATAATGTTCTAAAATTCATTTTGTTTAATATTAAAATATTTATTAAAAAAATACACGGGGCCCTATAGTGCACATAGGCCCACCATGTGAGTATTAGGTGGGCCCCACATACCATACATCGGTGGCGCGCCCCACCCTTGGATACCTTCTCTTGTTGCTTTGTCTTCAAGTTTATTAAATATGGTAACTATATCTTGTAGCATATGGTTAAATATTGATTAGGAAATATTAACCATATCTTATCTTGATTATTGAAGGAATATCTTGACTTGATATTATTGAAATATTCTTATGGAAATATGAGATGGAATATGCAATTTATGGTATACACTATATCTTTAATGGATTTAATTTATTTAAATATATTGATGGGAAAATGGTTTAAGGAAAGGGGGATAATGGTTCATGCACCTTCCACAATGTTGATGGCCCATATATGGAATGGATGGCTTAAAACTCTCACCCTACAAGTCACCTTGATCAACGATCCATATTCAATCTCAAAAAAGATGCAAACTATGGGAAACCCTAAAAAACCCAGACTTAAATTTCACTATAAACAGGGGTTCTCTCCTCCATCTCTACACACCTCTCTCTCTCCCTTAAACTCTATCTCTCTCCTTCCTAGGGGCAATGCCCCTCTCTTTCCTCTCGGACTTTATCTCTCTAACCTTCTTTCTCCTCTCTAGACCTAAGAAGAAATTAGGGTAATAAATCAAAGCCTAGAGTTATTTTTTTTGGGGTCAAGGTTTTGTAGAGATTTAAGGGTGGTTACCAAGTTTGGTCGAAATTAGCATTCCCAGTTCGAGATTGAAGTTAGACCGCTGATCCTGCGCCATGAATGTGGTGACTTGGTGTGGAGTGTAAAAAACCTGGTTGAGGTAATCTCCGTCATCTTTTATTTTATTTGTTAGTTTTTTTATTTTGTATCCTCAAGCACAATATTAGGTTGTATGAATGACATCAAGTAGTTGAGATTTATTTTATTGATGTGTTATTTATTTTTGGAATTTCTATTGTTTGTAATAAGACCATCTATGAGTGATCTTGTTGCCAAAATTATAAGGGATTAAAAAAATAATTGTATTTCCCCGGCAAAAGATCACATAGGTCTTTCTTTCATTAGTATTAAAGCTAGTTTTACTTGATTGCTATTATGGGTCTTTTCTTATTTTTTTCTTGAGAATAGAAATATAATGATTGCTCGCACCTTCATCACTGAGATCCTTCAAACCGAAAGGTTTGATGGGATCAACTTTGCTTCATGAAAACGAAAAATCAAATTTGTGCTTTATGAAGAAAACTTGCATGAGGTACTATTTGATGACTGACCTCATCGTCCAATTGATGACTCATCTAAAATAATCAAAGATGAGTACGCTAATTGGAAGAGGAGGAACTTGAAAAGCAAGCACATTCTTTTATGTGTCATGACTGACTCGTATGCTTCTGAGTACGAGTCAATCTATATTGCAAGTGGGATTTTTGATAAACTTAAAAGATAGTATACTGAACCCTCTCTTATTAAGCAAACTATAGCTATGAGAAGGTAAAAATGGTAGAAGGTATCAAGTTTGCAGATTATGTGCACATGTTTCGTGCGTTATTCATAGATTTGGCAGATACAAGCATGAAATATGCAAGTGATTCATTTAATGTCTTCCTAATTCATGGGAAACTTTCATATCTTCTATCTCTGCTAGAAGAAAGGCACCAAAATTGGAGGAACTCATCACGACCAACAAATCTGAAGAAGAAAACAGGAGTTCAAGGGAAACCCCAAGGGATGTTGTGCATATGGTAAAATCTCAACCATCTTTTAAATTTAAGAAAGGAAAGGAAGAAATACTTTTGAGAAGAAAATATATCTCAAAAGAAGAGATTTTGGAAATAAGTGAGCAAAGATAGATACTTGAACTTGTTTTATTTGCAAGAAGGTGGGCCACATAGCCAATAGTTGTCGGGTCAACAAATCTTGTGGAACTAACAAGGAATTGGCATGTGTGGTTTTCGAGTCCATGCTAGCTGACCCCAAGGGAGCTTTTCGGTGTCTTGACTCGGGGGCTACGTCTCATGTTACAAACAACAATGAAGGTTATCGTTTTTTCACTGCCATGGGGCCAGGACATCAGCATGTTTATATGGGAGGAAATCAGAAGACTGATATACTTGGAGTTGGAGATTTTGAGCTGAAATTGAAGAGTGGGAGCACTTTGATCCTAAACAAACACTTTATGCTTTTGATATGAGGAAGTGCTTGGTTTTAGTTCCTAAGATGTCTATGGCTGGATTCATAACCACTTTCATTGGGGAGAGTGTGGTGGTCAAGAAGGGGAAAGATGTGATCATGACTGGACGACTTGTAGACAAGCTATTTACTATTGAAATAAAAGACAATGTTACTTATGTCTCATCCTCTAATGAATTAGATGCTACCTTATGACATATGTGGTTAGGACACATTAATACCAAACGAATGGAAAGATTAAAAAGGGACGAGATTCTTCAAAATTATAAGGGAGAAATCAAAAGTGTGCGAATCTTGTGTGCAAGAAAAACTAATAATGAAAAATGCCACGAGGGTTCCATTTTGAGTTTTCTACTACCAAAAAATTCTTCCAAAACAAATACACCTGGATTAATTTCTCTCTTTTTAAATTTTCAAGTTCAACAAACACAAATTAACAGATTTTCTAAAACTTCGAGACATTATCAAACACAATTTTTTTCAATTCCCTCGAGAAAAAATCCAGCAACAAGAATTCTAGAACTTCTAGCTTCCATGGAGCATCCAACTTCCAGTTATTAAGTGTGGTATCTTATACAGACCACTTATGGTGGCCACATAGAACCAAATTGTATGGTCTTAGCTATATATGATCAATGAATTGTCAGATCAAACAAATCGCCTCAAAAACCCTCGCCCCTATCTCTCAAAACCCTGCCTTGTCTATAGCAAACCCTTGATCGCCACTCTTTCTCAACCCTCTGTCCTATCCCACAAGCCACGATCAAGCTTTAATCTTCTTCAACAAGGTAAAGTTATCTTTTTTTTTTTCTTGTTTTTCTTCATCATAGTGTAAAGATTCTTCAAGAGTAGGGTTTCCCTCATACGAACCTCAATACAAAATACTTCATCTTCTTCAACAAGGGTATGGAATTTATTCTTGTGATTTTCTTGGTTTTTCCCCTGACGTTTTTATTTACGAATGAAAACATTTTTTTTCTTTGGTTTCCCATGTACTTCCCATGCATGCTCGTCGAGGCTGTGGGTTCCATCTTGCTGTTTCCACGAGTGTGACAAGCGTGTTAGTCTGTTATGTGGAATTTGAGTTTCATACTACCAAAAATATTTTCCTAATTAAATACACCTGGATAAATTTCTCTCTTTCTAAATTTCCAAGTTCAATAAATACAAATAAATAGATTTCCTAAAACTTCGAGACATTATCAAACACAATCCTTTTCAATTCCCTTGAGAAAAAAAATCCAGCAACCAGAATTCTAGAACTTCTAGCGTTCATGGAGCATCCAACTTCTAGTTATTAAGCGCGGTGTCTAATACAAACCACTGATGGTGGCCACATAGGACCAAATTGTACATCTGGTCTCAGTTATATATGATCAATGAATTGTCAGATCAAACAAATCGCCCCAAAAGCCCTCGCCCCTATCTCTCAAAACCCTGCCATGTCTCTTGCAAACCCTCTCTCGCCACTCTCTCTGAACCCTCTGTCCTTTCTCTGAGACCCACAAGCCACGATCAAGCTTTCATCTTCTTCAACAAGGTAAAGTTGTCTTTTCTTTCTTTTTTTTTGTTTTTCGGCTGGTGTTCTTTTTTTTTTTTTGTCTTATTTTTCTTCATCATAGTGTAAAGATTCTTCGCAAGTAGTGTTTCTCTTATACGAACCCCAATACAAAATACTTCACCTTCTTCAACAAGGGTATGGATTTATTCTTGTGATTTTCCTGGTTTTTTCCTGATTATTTTATTTACCAATGAAAACATTTTTTTTTCTGTGATTTCCCCATCGAAATTTGTTGGTTTTTTATTATTTGACTTTTTTTATTGTGTATAGAAGCACAATTTTTACTACAGAAAAATATGGGTATGTATACTTTTCTGGCTTTTTTTATTTATTTATTATTTCTTTCTAGTTTTTTGATGTTGTATAGAAGCCATTTTGTGATTTTTACAGTTTGTTAATTTTTTTTTTTTTTCAGTTTTATCCTGACACTAGAAAGATCTGGGTCTGATTGACTCTGAAAACTATCAAATGAAGCCTCCAAGTCATTCCAAAATTAAGATAGTGGATGGGTACTATCGTGCATAAATCTCTTTCATCAGTTTAGGTTTTAGTAAGTATTTGGTATTTAGTAAATATTAGATCATAGTGGGGGTTCCAATCTGGCTTGTTTACAGTTTGGAACTCTATAAAATTGTAAAATATCATTGATTGGAAGCCTTGTTATTATTAGTGAGCCATGCTTGAGCGCTTTCATTACAAGGGTATTGAGAAATGAATCCACGATTATATCCTAAAACTAGAAAAGATTCTACTCAAATGCTTCATGAGTAAACTTCCTATGAATTTTGAAGTTACGTTTTGAATGTTTTTCTCTTTATTAGAATATGGATTATTTTCATTTTATTTTCTGCTGATATGTTTTTTGATTATGATCTCATAGTAAGCAGTTCGATAGTGACCTAGTTATTTGTCTTTGTTCGATATTGATCTCATAGTAAGCAGTTTTTAATTTTTAGAAATGTATCTGAATTCTTGAAATAATTTTTTAATACCAAATGTTGTACCAGATGTTTGAAACTAAAAATGTTAATGCTGCTTTTTATGTTATTGAAAGGGAGAGTCTACAGTCTTTATTTCATTTTATGCCAATTTTTAGCTTATGAGATGTTCATAAATTACATGTGTTTAGTCTTGATGCCTCAACAACACCCATACAAGATAAGAGAATCTTGACTGCATGCCTTGCTAGCTGTTAGCATTATATATGATTTCTTGTGAGAGTCAAAATGGATTTTTTCAATGAAAGGAAAAGTGTATTTTAGTTGAATGTTTTAAAACAATCATCTTAATAGGATGCATGTTGATATCAAATCAACTATATTACAATTGAACGGTTAAAAATAGATATTAATCCAGATTCTAGGAGATAGTTTACCCATGGGTTATCAAACATAAGAAATTGGGTATACATGAATTGCTGACATGTGAACCAAATATGAGAAAGAAAAAACAGAACTGGAAAACTATTGCACAGGGAACTGCTTACATATGAAAATTGTTTTACGTATGCAAACTGTTACGCATGAACCAAACGAGCCCTACATGTACGCATGATGACCTATATATGGCTTCTTCCCAATTTGATAAAAAGGGCTATATAACTTTGTTGTATCATTTTTGCTAACTGTTACGCATGAACCAAACGAACCCTACATGTACCCATGATGACCTATATATTGTTGGGTTTATGTAGCCTTTAAAGGCTTTATGAGTGTATAATGAAAAACATTTATTATAGTGGAACATAAACTCAGTGGGAGTGTAGACCTTCGAGGATCATACTAAGCAAATGATGTTTGCTGATACCGGACTGTGCTTGACGATCTAGGCCAGTCGGTTGGAAAACCCAAGGTACCTAGGCATAAAGAATAAATAGAGAAGGGTTTTGGGTTGGCCCTTGATGAGGTCAGAGTTTATGCCCGGATGAGTGAGCCGATGGACTGTGTGACCCTTGTGTGTGATGGTAGGCCCAAAGAGATAGGGGCCAAATCCTCATCCATGTTCCATCACACGGTATGCACATCGATAGATCGTTCGGGAAAGCCAGTTATCCACCTTTGGATGAAGCGTATGTTTGTGCGAGAGAGATAACCCTATGCACCATAGAGCTGTGGGCGCATTAGGTCGTGATTGACTCGTCTCTAGGGGAGGACCTGTAATCCACAAATTGGGATTGCGACCCCTTAGCTTATCGGCCAGATTTTGGTGACCCGTTAATGAGCTCCTGCTTGGACTGTAGGTCATGGGAAACACTGGGTCGGTTTGATAAAGCAAGTGTGGTCTGTAGTCCACAATTGAAGGTGGAGTACTTCATGATTATTGATAGAATTCCTGAACCATATGGATCCACTTCCCATCATATTAATTTAATTGTGTTATTTTTATTATTAACTTATTTTAGATTTATTATTGGAATTTTTATAATTCATTTGTTATTTTATTTATGATTTTTGGAATTATAAGAATGAAGTTATTGATTTTATAAATTATATAAAATTCGAATAATGTTTAAAGACTATTTTAAAATATTTATAAAATTTTCATGGGAGGCCCATAGTGTGCATGGGCCCACCATGTGGCAAATGGGTGGGGGGCCACATATGTCACATATGGGTGGCATGCCCCATCCATTGCTTCATTTGTTATTACTTTGATATCAAGTTTTGTAATTTTTGGAAAGTCTATCTTATAAGCATATGGTCAAATATTGTTTGGGAAATATTGACCATGTCTTATATTGATTATTGATAGAAGATCTTGACTTGATATTTCTTGATATATTCTTATGGAATATATGACATGGATAATGCAATTTTATAGAATGTATAATATCTTTAATAGATTTAATTTATTTAAATATATTAATGGGAAAATGGTTTAAGGAAAGGGGGATAATGGTTCATGCACTTTTTATAATGTTGATGTCCCATCTATGGAATGGATGGCTAGGATCTCTTACCCTACAAGTCACTTTGATCAACGGTCTATATTCAATCTCAAAAAAGAGGCAAACTATATGAAACCCTAAAAATACCCTAGACATAAATTTCAGTATAAATATAGGAGCTCTCCCCACATCTGTACATACCTCTCTCTCCCCCATAAATTATCTCTCTCCTCCCTAGGGGCCACACCTCTCTCTCTCCTCTCTAATTATTTTGGAGTCAAGGGTTTTATAGAGATTTAAGAGTGGTTATCTAGTTTGGCCGAATTAGCTTTCCCGGTTCGAGATTAAAGCTAGACCGTTGATCTCACACTATTGGATGTGTGACTCGGTGTGGGGTGTAATAAGCCCAGTTGAGGTAATCTCCGGCATCTTCTCTTTTACTTAATTTGTTCTTTTATTTTATATTGTCAAGCATAATATTAAGTTATAAAAATGGCATCAAGTGGTTGAGTTTTATTTTTATTGTTGTCTTGTTTTATTTTGAAATATTTATTTATTACAAAAGACCATCGGTAAGTGATCTTTTTGCCAAAATAAAAAGGGATGATTATTATAGTTAAAAAAAAAAAAAATTATATTCCACTGGGAAAGATCACATAGGTCTTTCTTTCATATATGGCTTCTTCCCAATTTGATAAAAAGGGCTATATAACTTTGTTGTATCATTTTCGTTTGGATGCAGTTTCTATAAGTCCTATGAAGACAAAGTAAAGCTTTGCCTCGAAAAGCACTTTGGGCCTATGAAAATCTCCATGATGGCTCTAAAATTAAATAATTTTAACACCGACTACAAAATTTAAAGATTAAAAAACACTAAAGATCTTGTGGATCGATAAGCACTTAATTTTAGTTCAAAATGAACGGTCTAGTTACTGTTTTATGATATACACATGTTCTACGACTGTAATGGTAAAGGCTGAGATGATCGTGCCAAAACTACAATTTTAAGTGAGTTTTGTGGTGAGGCTTTTCTTGATAGGGCCATTTTCCTTTTCTTTTTCAAAATTTTCAAAAAGGTTTCCTGTTTACATGTTGTAAACGCATCAATTTTTTATTGATTTTTATTAGTAAAAACAATGGCGCTCCTGTTCTAATAAATTCTCACACATCTCCCGTTGCGTATATTGGAACAATTCATTATCATTTTATTTGCCCTGATCAAACCTAGGTCTAGCTCTCTTTGGCTAACCCCCTTCCCTCTCTTTCTATTCCAGCCGATCCTCTCTTTTCTCTCTATCCCTGATCAAACCTAGGTCTAGCTCTTTTCTCTCTTCCTCTCAAAACCCAAGCCTGTGCGCTCTTTCTCTCTCAAGCTCTTACCTGTTTTCTCTCACTGTAACCCTTTTTATCTCTTTCTCTGTTTTATACTTGTTCTATCTATATCTTCCTCAGCTTCTCCACGTTTTTCCCTATCCCTTCAAGCCATTGAAGACTCAGGTATGTTCTTCATTAGTTTTCTTTTCATTGTTTTTAATATTCATCTTTCTTTTTTTTAATTCTTCATTGTTATTAATATTCATTCTTCTCATTGTTATTAATATGGTCTTCGTTATTTTTTCTTTCCTTTGTTGTTAATCTTCATTATTGTTTGCTTAATTTTCAATTATCTTTGTTTATTTCTTCATTGTTATTGTCATTCTTCCCATTGTTTATTTATCTTCGTTGTGTATTATTAATCTTCATTGTTCTTTTTTTTTTTTGATGAAGGTCACAATATGTATATTTTTTCTTAGCTGCTGTTTTTAGAGTAAAAATAGTACAAGAAGTGAGTTGTAAACTGCTGTTGTTGCCCTTTTTTCTCTGCAACTTTTTCTCTTTCTACTAGCTTCAATACTGTCATGTTTCTATGCTTTTATAGACTCGTTTTATTATCTATGGTGGATAATTACTCTGCATAGAAACGTTTCCTTGGGTTTGCACATATGTTTCGTTTTTGTACCCTCTTGTGATTGGGTTAATAAGATCTCGTCAATGTGATTGGGTTAATAAAGTGTCTCGTCTTTAAATGTGAATTTGATGGTGATTTGGGTGTGAGATCCTATGAATTTTGTTTTCCAATCTTTTTTTTTCTGTTCTCTGACATGGCTGCTTTCGTCTTGGCAAATGAATATGTATGTTGTGTTTCTACTTTCTCAGTTTTTCTTTATTCTACAGTATATCCAGGATATTTTCTGCTTCTTTAGCTCTTTCTATCCGCTGTTTATCTCTCTTCAAGCCATAGAGTCCAAAGGGGAAATAGGGAACAGCTCTTAAGTTTCCTTTACTTTCTCTTTAACCCTCTGTTTCTATCTCTAAAAGCTCTTCGTTTCCATTGATGGGAGTCAGTTATTGAACATTTAGAATGGGAGTAAGTGAATTAAAGCAAAGTTTTGAAAGTGAAGAACCAAAAATCTGTCTTTTACTGATAGAATTTGAAAGAAATTAGGGAATTTAGGGTGGTTGTCCTCTCTTTCTCTCTCTATCTTCTCTTTCCCTCTCTAGAAACAGAGTTTATATCTTTTCCCTTAGTTCTAGAGCATGGTGTTTGGTAGGTATTCAAATTTCATCTGGTTAAGGTTTGGCGATCAGTTTGCTGGTTCTCTTTACTTGAGTTGGGATTTTATATTTCCAGAATGAAGGTTAAGGTCATATCACGGTCGGCTGAGGAGTTCACTCGCGAACGAAGCCAAGATCTCCAGAGGGTCTTTCGGAACTTTGATCCAAAACTACACGCTCAAGAAAAAGCAGTCGAATATGCCCGTGCTCTTAATGCAGCGAAGTTGGAGAAGATATTTGCCAAACCATTTCTGGGAGCCATGGATGGGCATGTTGATGCAATTTCTTGTATGGCAAAGAATCCGAATTACCTAAAGGGCATATTTTCAGGTTCAATGGATGGAGATATTCGTCTTTGGGATATATCTTCGAGGAGTACAGTTCAACAGTTTGTGGGTCACAAAGGTGCTGTGAGAGGCTTAGCAGCATCTACAGATGGAAGCATTCTTGTATCATGTGGAAATGATTGCACGGTCAGGCTCTGGAGTATTCCGGGGCCGAAGATTGCTGATTTGGACGATGCGTCTGAAAATGCCTCAAATCCTCTTGCAGTTTATGTTTCGAAGAATGCTTTTCGTGCAGTTGATCACCAGTGGGATGGTAATCTGTTCGCCACAGTTGGTGCACAAGTTGATATATGGGATCATAGCAGGTCTGAGCCTGTGACTAGCTTTGCCTGGGGAAGTGATACTGTTGTCTCAGTTCGATTTAATCCGGCACATAAAGATATATTAGCAACTTCAGCTAGTGACCGCAGCATAACTTTGTACGATCTGCGTATGGCATTGCCGTCCAAGAAAATTGTCATGCAGACAAGAACGAATGCTATTGCTTGGAATCCGAGGGAGCCAATGAACTTTTCCTTGGCAAATGAAGATTGCAACTGCTATAGCTATGATATGAGAAATATGGAACAAGCAAAGTGTGTTCACAGGGACCATGTGTCTGCTGTCATGGATATTGACTACTCTCCCACTGGTCGGGAGTTCGTCACTGGATCTTATGACAGGACTGTAAGGATTTTCCAATATAATGCTGGCCATAGCAGAGAAATATACCACACCAAGAGAATGCAGAGGGTCTTCTGCGTGAAATTTAGCTGTGATGCTTCATATGTGATTTCTGGGAGTGATGACACCAATCTGCGGTTGTGGAAGGCTAAGGCATCGGAACAATTAGGAGTTCTTCTTCCAAGGGAACGTAAGAAGCAGGAATATCTAGATGCTGTCAAGGAGCGGTTCAAGCACTTGCCTGAGGTTAAGCGCATCGTCAGGCATCGGCACCTTCCGAAACCGATATACAAGGCGGCATCCCTGCGGCGTACCATGGCAGACGCAGAGAAGAAGAAGGAGGAGAGAAAGAGGGCTCATAGTGCCCCTGGGACTGTGGTCACTGTTCCCCTTCGCAAAAGGAGAATTGTCTCTGAAATCGAATAAAACAAGAGTAGTTGATGCCTGGTAATCATCTTTTCTTTCCATTGGTGGCCCCATTTCAACAGTAGACATATATATACATTGTTGACAATACATATGTACACTGTTAACAGTTAACACTTGAATTTCACCATTATATTCTCACATTGTTTCTTTAATACCAGTGCATATGGGCGCTGATTTCGTGTTTTTAAATTTCTTTTTTCCGTGAATTCTTGCTTCTCTGCTTTTAAACGAGTGGCTTTAGCCTAGGTGACCCACTTCCAAAAAGTTTTTGTAAAAGCATCTCCTTAGATGAGGATTTGGGTTTAATTGAGATCCAGTTAAGGAACTGAGATAATGTGGTCTGTATTAGACAGTAGAGTTTATGTATTAATAAATCTGTATAAGACGGTAGAATTTATCTAATCGCCTATGAGTGTACCAGTATTGGCCCTACTTTTGCAAAGGCCCGAAACAAACTGCTAAAGCTGTTCTAAGTTTCATAATGGTGTTATTTGTTCCATCTCAAATGATGAAAGCTTATTAGTTACTTTGTCTCCATTGATGGTATAATTTGTTTTCATTTCTGATTTTGTGATGAAAAGTTCTTTATAGTTGCTAATGTCTTCATTTATGGTATTCTTGGTCTTCATCACTAACTTTCTAATTGATGTAAGAAGCTCACAATGGAGGACAACTGCCCCAGTGGTTGGTACGAATCCGTGACAATGTTTGGATTGATACAAGAAGCTCTTAGATTCAACTTACTTCATCGAAGACAACAACAAAATTTTGGGAATGATGAAGAGGAGGCAAGCATTTTCATGACCTGTGTGGCGGTTGGCGGTTGCGGAACTGTTAAAGATGTTTCTTTTTTGGTAACTCCCTTGCTTGTTTATATGAATTAGTTGTGAAGATCATCTTTGTTGTTGGCCTAGTGATACTTTAATGTTACTCGTGTTCAGCTTGATGGGTTCTTAAGTTAAAGAACACTGGTTCTATGATTGAGCCCAATGTAACGTGATGGATGATTGTATGAATGGGCTGAGTTTTAGAAACTAAAATTTTGTACAAATTGTTTGAATGATTTGGCGTTATATGTATTCCAAAAGTATGGAAAGTGAGCGAAGCCCTTGTCCAGATTTTTAAAATTATGGAAATTTAAGATTAACAGAGATAAGTATCAAACTTAAGAAATGCGGAAGTTCTCAATAGCTGCAAATATAGCATGCATTTGGCTAGGCATGAGAGAGAGAGAAAGAGAGAGATTATTACATTTGTTTAATAGCTGCAAAGAACATTTGTTTTTGGGTTCTTCTCTAGTAAGTTTACATAAATGCTCTTGATTTGCATTCAAGTCAGATGTATACGACAAATACAAGACAGAAACAGGTCTGGGAGCCTTCAAAAACTCTCCCCCGTCTTCCCTCTTCCAATATTCAAATGGAAAAGAGAAATCACGAAGACAAAAACACAACTGCAAAAACCTGATTGCGAGGACTTCATTGGAGAAGCATGAAAATTATTTCCAACAGATATCTCAATAGCCTACCTCAGGTTAGAAGGTACATTCCATCCATGAACAAATCAGCCACTGGACTAGCAGCAGAGCAAATCGTTTCCTTGTTCTTGGGGAATGATAATGATCTGTGGTTTTCAACTCCCTTTGAGTGCATTACTTAATTCAAGCTTCCTCAATTGGTCATCGTAGAGCCTCTAGCTACTCTTGAGCTTGACATCGATCGGTTGCATTCTGAAACGGAAACTACGATTAGATATTCAGATTCACCATCACTCCAACCCAAACCACTGTATTGCTAAGAGCTAGAAATGAACTCAATGTTTAAGCTCTAGCAATATTCCAAGGTAAAAGTTTATATAGAGCGGAGGTTCTAAACAATCAAATTCAAACCTACCTCTAAACTTTCATTGTTTTGATGCCTAAATATCCTTAAATTGATTATTCGACATCAAGATGCATGGACATGACAAAAAGATGGATTTGAAGTTTTGGAAATATTGTATTTTGTAACGCATTTTTGGAATGTCAATTTAAAAGATTTTCAAGTTTTCATACATCTCGATCTACACTATTTTTGAAGTTTTAAACTTTAGAAATAAATATGAAAATATATTTTAAGGCTATCAAAAAGATTTTCAGTATTGAAACCACATTCCTCAACACTATTTAAAGGGATTGTTTGAGAATTTAGGGATTATTTTTCTCTCTAAAAGTTTTGAGATTGTTTTTCTCCCTAAAAAAAGTTTATGTACCTGATCTCCCGAATATTTAAGATATAAGATAGTTCTCTCTCTAAAATTTGATATAGTTTCTCTCTTTAAAATTTTAAGATACTTTATCTCCCCGTAACTTAAAATTTGAGATAGTTCTGTCTAAAAACTTTGAGATAGTTTCTAAAATTTTTCGGGTACTTTCTCTCTCCAAAACTTAAAATTTGAGACTATTTCTCTCCCTTAAAATTTTGAGAGTTTGTATCTATAAAATTTTTGAGTTATTTTGAGAGTTTGTATCTATAAAATTTTTGAGTTTATCTTTAAAAATTATGAGATAATTTCCCTCTCTAAATTTTTGAGATAGTTTCTTTCTCTAAAAATGTACAGTTACTTTTATCTTTAAAACTTAAAATTTGAGATAATTTATCCTTTAAAAATCTTGAGATACTTTTTCTCTCTAGAACTTTAACTATGATATAGTTGTTACCTAAACATTTTGAGATAGTTTCTCTCTAAAAAATTTGAAGTATTTGATCTCTCTAAAACTTATAATTGGATATAGTTTCTCTCTCTAAAATTTTGAGATAGCTTCTCTCTCTAAAAATTTTCAGGTACTTCCTTTCTATAAATCTTAAAATTTGATATAGTTTCTATCTCTAAGAATTTTAGGTATTCTCTTTTCTTTGGGAAAAGTTTATATATGGTTGCAACCTTAAAATGCATAATTCCAGATGCACCTCAAAAATTCGTTGGAAAGGTTGTTTTAATGTTCCATCGAAAAAGTTGTTTTAAATTTGATCATCTCGACATCGAGATGTATGAATATATATATAAAAAAAGTTTTCGAGTCTTAGAAATAGTGCACCTTGCAACACATTATCTAGGCAGTCCATTTTCAAGATTTTCATATGTTTATAGATCTCCTTGATTTTATCTATTTTTGGTGTTTAAAATATTCTAATTAGATATGAAAATAGATTTTAAGATAATCTTAAGAATTTTTTACAACAAAATTACCTGTTGTGATAAAATTTGGAGGTGTGTCTTAATTGGATTATTTAAAGTTGCAACTTTATAGAAACCGTACCCTTTCTATATAGATAGTATTTATATCTATATGTATATCGTGCGGTTTGTATAGAGCCTAGGTTTTAAAGAATCAAATTAGAGCCTACATTCAAATAATGTAGACAAATGTGGTTTCAATGCTAGAAATCTTTATTATAGCCTTAAAATATATTTTTATCTTTATTTATAAATTTTGAAGCTTAAAAAATAGTGTATATCGACAGATCTATGAAAACTTGAAAATCTTTAAAATTGATGGTCCAAAAATACGTTACAAAATGCACTATTTTCAAAACTTGAAATTCATTTTGTTTCTCATGTCTATACATCTTGATGTCGAGATGACCTATTTGAAGATATTTGGGCATCAAAATAATATGTTCTAGTGAAAGTTTTTTGGTAAGCTCCAATTAGATTTGTTTAGAGCCTCGCTCTATATAAACTTTTTCTATCTATAAATTAGATTATTAAGACAAAATTAAGTGATGGACATGTGTTAATAAAATAAAGCTAAACCTTTATATATAAAGATTATGGGGGGCACATGCTTATTCAAATAGACATAATAAATCCCTAAAAAAACAATGTTCCTAAATTTTAATGTTTAGACTATAGAGAAGAGAGAGATGCCAGCGTGTCTCCTAAACATAGTGAGAGAGATAAAGAGAGAGTCACGCGGGGAGAGAGAGATGGGGGGAATTCATTTTCTTAGAATCTCCTAAAATATTGGGAGAGAATATTAAGGAGATGTCTCTTAAAAAGAGAAATATAATATTGAAATATGTATCTTTACGAAGAGAAAGGATAAAGCATTCACATCCTATCTCAAGAGACAGAGATATAGACTTCCCCATCATGAAGAGAGAGGGTCATGTGGTTAGAGACAGGGATGGATTTTCTCTTTCAATAAATTTATTTATGAAAATAATTTGTGGGTTAACTATGTTTTTTAAATATTTATAAAAAAAAAAGAGAAAAAAAGTATAGTTTGTATAGAACGAAGGCTCTAAACAATCAAATTAGAACCTGTCTTCAAATAGCCTCGAGAAATATGAAAATATTTTTTATAGCCTTAAAATATATTTTCATCTTTATTTACAAATTTTAAAGCTTTAAAAATAGTGTAGATTGAGAGATCTATGAAAACTTAAAACTTGAAAATCTTGAAAATTGACAGTCCAAAAATGAGTTACAAAATACACTATTTTCAAAACTTGAAATCCAATTTTTAATCATGTCCATACATCTTGATGTCGAGATGATCAATTTGAGGATATTTGGGCATCAAAACAACCTATTTTAGTGAAATTTTTGAAGTGGACTCTAGTTTGATTGTTTTGAACCTCGGCTCTATATAAACTTTTCCCTTACATAAAAATTGCCATGATTTATTTGAGGATATATTTTAACTCAGATATATATTACTATTACAAAAACTTAGTGAATTTTTTATTAGGAATTTAAATTAAAATAATCATTGCGCTGATTTTGTGCCTTTTTACATTAGGGCGAGCTTTATGTGCTTCCCCTACACAATAGAAGTTATATTCCCCTTATCCAACCGCTCAGTTTGAATGGAGGGTTAAGATTGTCCCAATCACAATGTCACGTCTTTACACTATTTTATTTTTTAGTTTTTTTTTTATAAATTATTTTGACACCAAATATGAAAAAAAATATTTTCAATAAAATAAAAAGACCAAAATACCCTTGAAAATTTGAAGGGGTATTTTGGTTATTATATTTTATCGAAAAATTATTTTTAATATTTTTATAGGTGCTCGCCAATGAGAAGATGACACGTACCAAATTTCATATTCATACAATTTGTATAAAAAAAACTAAAAATAAAATACTTTGAGAAGTCGGATCTAAGATCAAACGGTGAGTGACTCTCTTGATCAAAATTGGACGGTTGGATGGTAGGGGGAGGATAAAACTTCTATGCCGTAGGGGAAGCATAGAAACTTTTCCCTTATGAAAATAGCATGCCAAACATAGATACGGGCTAACCCATAATTTTTCTTATTTTCTTTTTAAATTAACTTTTTTTAAACTTAAATTTTTTTTTTAATTAACTTTTTAGAGTTTCTTTATTATTTACAGCACATATTAACGTCCAACCACTAGAACATACTATGCACTTACTCTCGTAAGCGAAAAAAAAAGAAGGAATATTTTGTTGATAAAAATTTTAGGTTTTCGAAAAATCTATGAGGTAACTCTATGTCTCAAAATCTAAGAGGGTTCTTAAATCTTAACAAATTTGCTGCTTTTGTTCTTTGAACAGGCGCAAAAGAAAGGAGATCATAACATGGGCAAAGCTATGTTTCTTTTGTTAATGTCGTCGTTGCTTGTGACTGGTTTTACCACCGAGTATGCGGTTGGTGGTTCTTGTCGTTGGGAACTTAATGTCAACTACACAGCATGGGCTTCTGATTAGATATTTTTCGTGGGTGATGAGCTCCGTAAGTTCTTTATAACTTCTTCATAGAAACCTTTTTCACTCCTTTTCTCTATTTAGAAACTATGAATAAGAATTTTAGAAAACAGAAACCTCATTTATAGGAAAGATCAGAAAAGTAGAAAATATTGCATAAATCAAATTAGAAAGAAAAGAAGATTAGTGGGTTCTTCTTATTTTCAAATTTTGACTTCTTGCAAACTTCTTTGTTTATAATTACTTTTGTACTTCAATTAAAACTTATTTTTCCTTGGTAACTTATGTCTTGGTTTAAACATAAATTTCTTAATTTCAACTACATTAATAGAAAAAAAATTAGATAAGCAACAATA